TTATTTCATTGGCAAAATAACAAGAGAGGCAACAAGGTATTTCATCGGTCAAGTGATAATTACTTTTACGTGATATGAACAAGCTTATCAAATTCCCAAAGGCAATCCTAACCTATTTTGTTGGTTCACATTCCCCAATTGCTCATGATCTCCCTCCCATATTCTTCACTCTCAGCGTGCCCTCCCACTGCTACAATATTAGCTTTAGGTGGTGGATGATGGTGACGGATATTAGAAAAATCATGTCGGATAAATTATATCCGACACATCATTTAATTAGTGGCGGATATTATAAAAATCCTGTCAGTTATATCCGACATAAATTCCTGGCGGATATTAGAAAAATTCTGTCGGTTATATTCGACATAAATTCCTGGCGGATATTAAAAAAATTCTATCGATTATAACCATCAAAATTTTTGAATCCTTTTTTTAAATATTTTTGATAGATTCTGGCTGTTTTTAAGTTAATGGTGGCGGTTATAACCGACATAAATTGACTATTTTATTATTTTACTTTCTGGCGGTTATTATTTTAGTATTCTGGCGGCTATAACAAACAAAAATGAAAATTTTATTATTTTAAAATGTTATATTGATAAAAATAAATAAACACATATTTTAAATTTTTTTTTTCACTCATGACCCTAAAGTCTAATAAACCCAATTCCCACGAGCCATAAATTTTCTGAGAGAATAATAATAACAGATTGCAATCTGAAGCTCTATCATTTTTGTAATAAAGATTATGCTCCCTCACAGGCAAGCAACAAGATACAAAGAAATTCAAAAAAAATTTTTCAATACATCACAAAGCACATTGTTTGGCACATAAACACACATGAACATCTGGTGTACTCTATCATGTCTGGCATATTGTCTAGCAATTTTTTTCAATGCGTCACAAAGCACATTGTCTGGCACATAAACACACATGAACAACTAGTTTCGTAGAATGCATATCCTATCAAATTGATAGATTTAACAAACACTTAAGAGTTAATGTTATACTTCCATATAGTATAAAATAAGATTTATGCACTAGTGTAAATATTTTAAATTGAAGATCGAATTCATTCATTGCATTCTTATAGGATCAAGGAGTGTAGCTGCAAAAATCATCAAAATCGAAGCTAAAATAACCATTAAATTGTGATTTTTCGTTTATAACCATCGAAAACTTTTGTTTCGTTACCTAATCTCTAAATGTTTGTTTTTTACGATTTTTTACTTATGCGATCTTGGAGTGTGTACAAACAAGTTTGATGGTTTGATCGTTGAAAAATGTTTCATAGAATGCATATCACATCAAAACGGTACATTAAACCAACACTTAGAGTTAATGTTATACTTTCCATCAAGTATAAAATAAGATTTTGTTGTATCCACTAGTGTAAATATTTTAAATTGAAGATCGAATTCGTTCAATGCATTCTTATCGGGTCGAGGAGTGTAGGTGTAAAAAATCATCAAAATCGGAGCTAAAATAACCGTTAAATTGTGATTTTTCGTTATAACCGTCGAAAACTTTTGTTTTGTTACCTAATCTCTGAACGTTTGTTTTTTGTGATTTTTTACGTATGTGATCTCAGAGTGTGTACCAACAAGTTTGACGGTTAGATAATTGAAAAAAGTTTTGAAGAATGTGTATCGCGTTAAAACGGTAGACTAAATAAATACTTAAGAGTTAATGTTATACTTTCATTAAGTATAAAATAAGATCACTAGTGTAAATATTTTAAATTGAAGATCAAATTTTTTTCATTGCATTCTTATAGGATTGAGGAGTGTAGCTGTAAAAGATCATCAAAATCGGAGCTCAAATAACCGTTAAATTGTGATTTTTCTTTTATAACCATCGAAAACTTTTGTTTTGTCACCTAATCTCTGAACATTTGTTTTTTGTGATTTATGTATGTGATCTCGGAGTGTGTACAAAGAAGTTTGACGGTTGGATCATTGAAAAAAGTTTCGTAGAATGCATATTGCATCAAAACAGTAGATTAAATAAACACTTAAGAGTTAATGGTATACTTCCATTAAGTATAAAATACGATTTTGTGGTATCCACTAGTGTATATATTTTAAATTGAAGATCGAATTCATTCATTGCATTCTTATAGGGTCGAGGAGTGTAGCTGTAAAAAATCATCAAAATCGGAGCTAAAATAACCGTTAAATTGTGATTTTTCGTTATAACCGTCGAAAACTTCTGTTTTGTTACCTAATCTCTGAACGTTTGCTTTTTGTGATTTTTTACGTATGTGATCTTAGAGTGTGTACAAACAAGTTTGACGGTTAGATAATTGAAAAAAGTTTTGAAGAATGTGTATCGCGTTAAAACGGTAGACTAAATAAATACTTAAGAGTTAATGTTATACTTTCATTAAGTATAAAATAAGATTTTGTGGTATCCACTAGTATAAATATTTTAAATTGAAGATCAAATTTTTTCATTGCATTCTTATAGGGTCGAGGAGTGTAGCTGTAAAAAATCATCAAAATCGGAGCTCAAATAATCGTTAAATTGTGATTTTTCGTTTATAACCGTCGAAAACTTTTGTTTTGTTACCTAATCTCTGAACGTTTGTTTTTTGTGATTTTTTATGTATGTGATCTCGAAGTGTGTATAAAGAAGTTTGACGGTTGAATCGTTGAAAAAAGTTTCGTAGAATGCATATTGCGTCAAAACAGTAGATTAAATAAACACTTAAGAGTTAATGCTATACTTCCATTAAGTATAAAATAAGATTTTGTGGTATCCACTAGTGTAAATATTTTAAATTGAAGATCGAATTCGTTCATTGCATTCTTATAGGGTCGAGAAGTGTAGCTGTAAACAAATCATCAAAATCGGAGCTAAAATAACCATTAAATTGTGATTTTTCGTTTATAATCATCGAAATTTTTTGTTCCGTTACCTCATCTCTGAATGTTTTTCTTTTTGTGATTTTTTACGTATGCAATCTTGTAGTATCTACAAACAAGTTTGACGGTTAGATCATTGAAACTAGTTTCGTAGAATGTATATCTCCATTAAATTTGCCTAAATTTTGAAGTGTGAAAAGTAATTTGTGCTAAATTTTTATTTATGTTTTTCAAGTATTGATTAGACAATATTTAGTTTGTGTGATGACATTTTCGTTGTACAATTATATTTTTGTTTCTTTATTGCATATTTTACATGAGTTATTATCTATTAAACCAAACAATTATTTATTTTTGACAAAAAAAATTTATTTATTTAATTTTTAAAAACGTATTCTATTTAAATACATATTATTTATTTATTTATGAAACCAAACAATTATTATTTTATTTTTTAAAATTGTAACAAAATTTTGGGGGGAATTTAAAATTTTAGGAGGGAATTTAAAATTTTGGGTGGCAATTTTGGGGGGCAATTTTGCCGCTATGTTTTCCTATCGGTTATAACCGATAGGAATGAAAATGTTTCCGTCGGTTTATATTTTTAAAAAATGTTTCTGTCGATTTTAACCAACAGTAATGTCAATTTTCCAACTTAATACCCCTTCTTCCCCCTTTTATCCTCTCCGCATTTCCTTGTCTTCTCTTCTCCCCACACACGAGCAAACTTCATCTGAAAGCGAAAGGTATTCCCTTTTCATATCTTCTCTCCCAATTTCTTTAGTGTTAATTTCGATTTTCTTATGCTATTTGCAGTGGTGCTTTTTAGGGTTTAATTATTTGATTTTGCAGCAATGGGAGAGCATGGTGGAAAACTGGGAGCTGGAGCACCAGAAGCTCTCCATTATCATAGATCTCATCAACACTGTAAGTATTTCGATTCTCATTTGATTTCGGGGAGAGATTCAATTGAACGAGCATTGCTTGCTATGATTGAGTGATTTTAAGGGAATGTGATTGAGTAATTTTAAAGGATAGTGAATCGTTTTCTGTGGATTCCGGAGAACTCTATCGCCGGCCTTCCAAGACCGGTCGTATGTGAACGGAGGCGGCTCTCCATTTTCAGTGCCATCACTGTCGCAGAAGCTTCTCTCCAGCTCTAGATACTGGCCGCCTTTTCCGTCGGCGATTCTTGCCTTCTCTGTCTCCGTCCGGAGCTTCGTCGCTAGAGCTCTCTTTCATCGACCTAATCGCAAAGGCCAGCAATGGCGTCGAGGATTCTACAAGTGCTTGCTCTTCTTCTTCTTAGGGTTTTTACTCGGCCTATAGTCGTTCAGCCATGTTGATGACGACGAGATTCGAGATCAGAGCTTCCATTCATATGGAAAATGCAGAAAGTTGTTGTTTATTTTTTTTTAATTATTAATATATTTTTCTGTCAGTTCTATCCGACAAGAATGATTTTGTTTATTCTTATTAATAAATGTGTTGTCGGTTATATCCGACAGAAGTTCTGTCGGTTTTAGTATTTTCTGTCGGTTTTAGCCGACATAAATTCTCTTTTTTATTCATTATTAATATATTCTCTGTCGGTTATATTCGACACAATTTCTGTCGGAAAATTCATTTCCTGACACTAGCAATTATGTCGCTTATTATATCCGCCACTGCATCCATTTTCTGTCGGATTTTGCTTAAAATCCGACAATAATATACGTTTTTTGTTGATTTTTAGACCGCCAGTTATAGATAATTTTGTAGTAGTGTCCCATTAACTTTTGTCAGTAAGAATTGGTATTTATCTTGTAGCAACTTGGCGGGATCTTTCTCTCTCAGAAACAATCTTGACATTCCTAAATCCTAAGTTTATATATTAGGGTTCTTGCACTCTTAACTGACTCTCATCCACGTCTCGGCCTCTATCATCTATCTCGCTCCCATGATCATCTCCATTCTTTCTCTCACTCTATCCTCTATTCAGCTATCTCATATGTCCCCTTGCATGCATCAGAATCCCCAACAATTGGACCAACTGTTTCATGCTCTCTCATCTGGTATGTATTTTAACTAAGTTGAATCATTCATTTATTCCACATATTGGTTTTCAAACTTTACATGAATTCTTATGCAGGTGTGGAAGCTAATATCATTGTACGTATATATTTGTTTTTACAAAAGATGCCGTTACAATTGAACCTTTAGAGTAAGCATTTTTTTACATATTTATCTCTCTAAAGCTTAAATTGCTGTTACTTGTGTCGTGTGGAGAAGCGACATCAGATTCAACTTCACATTCTAGTAAAATTTTAACTACTGAATCCATAGTTGATCTTTTGCTCTTTTCTTCCTCCACACAGGAAATCCCAATCTCAACCATCTTTGCCGCTTGGATCCTGCTGAACTGCCCATTCAGCCTTGGATCCATCATATCCTCGATCCACAGATCTTTCCCGCATTGAATTTTCTGCTTCGCTGCCCTCACAAACCTTGTCAACTCCGACTCTACATCATCAGTGTCCTCAACTACCCAACTTGAAAGGCGAATGCCCTTCACTAACTCTAGAATTACCACTCCAAAACTATAAACATCCACTTTTGCAGTGATCGGAAGGTTTAGAGCCCACTCGGGAGCCATATACCCTTTCGTTCCACGAATTTGAGAAAAAACTGAGCTCAGGTTGCCTCTCTGGGTTAACTTTGCTAGCCCGAAATCTACAATCTTTGGTTCGAAATTTCCATCTAGGAGTATGTTCTCGGGCTTCACATCACAATGGATAACCCATTCTAGACACTCATGATGAAGATATGCTAAACCCTTTGCTATTCCAATTGCAACTTTAAACCTTTCTTGCCATCCAAGGAAATTTGGGGGGAACAGGTGCTTGTCCAATGAGCCATTTTTGATGTGCTCAGAGACGAGGAGTTTGTGCTTATCTTCAGAACAGAATCCCCAAATCCTCACTAGGTTCATGTGATTAATTTTCCCAATTGTGCTAACTTCTGCCCAAAACACACCTTCCCCTTGATATAAGTCCGCCAGTTTCTTCACAGCCACCACTCTTTTGTCCGCCAGAACGCCCTTGTACACAGCACCGGAGACCCCTCTTCCAAGCTCTTCATTGAAGTTTTTGGTTGCTTTCTTGAGCTCAGCGTAGCAAAACTTTCTAAACTGACTCGAAATTACGTGATATCCATCTTCTGTCGAAGCTGCTGCATTGTGCCTTCGGAAAAGTAGACAGTTGGCGGAAGCTATGAAAAGAACTTCAAGCGCACCCACTGCAAAAACAAAGCTATACAAATACACCCATCTTACCCTTTTCGCAGTATTTTCATACATCGAAGGAGAACCGACTACAACCTTTAACAAATTCTTCCTGCATGTATCTGAGGCCTTGAGATTGACAGGCAGCGACGTTTCCACACTCAGGGGCACTTTTATGTATGTACTCCCTATAAAATTTGGAGACTTGTACCCATTGAAAAGAGTACTCTTCGTAAAACATTTCCCTTTTCCTGTCTTCTTATAAGTAAATGCTTTGCACCGGAAATCATCCAAGCAGAAATTCCTGCAATTTTCGAACGAGGTAAGTTCGCTATAATTGAAATCATAACCATAGAAATCTACATGCTCCATCTGCATGAATTTCACTTGCTGGGACCGCGAATATGAACCATTGAACATAGGTTTGCAACCCCTTTTCCAGTCACTTGTGTCAGCTACTCCGTAGCCAGGAGGGCACGAGCATTTCGGCTGCGGCGTATTAATACAGATCCCATTTCTCCCACAGATCCCATGCACCTTACACAGCTCCGTCATGGCTTCCCAGGTAACCACCCAAAACCCTGTCGCGCTTTCTAGGCTATAAAGCCTGAGGTTTCCATCATAATCCATAGTCAACCGCCTTTTTGCACTTGACCCTGCGTCGGAAGCTGAGAATTGTAGTTCATCACTGGAGAAAAAATTCCCCAAATCATCCAAAACAGCAACCCTGCTACTGTTGTAATTTGTTCGATTGTTGCCGTAAGTGTCGTAATCAGGATCAGGCCAGTACAAGCTCGAAGTGTCAGGGCCGTCGAACATGAGCTTCAAAACATTGTCATTGTCGAAATAGAAGCTGAAATAGCCGGTCCCAAAGGTGCCTTTTCCCAAAGTAGATATCAGCTTCTTGCTCTTTGTAAAAAGCTGGTTTGGAAGAAGAGTGTGAGTTGGAAAATCAAAACTTTGCCACCGAACTTTACCTTGCTTGTCTCTTAAGACAAGGTTGCCGGAATCCATAAGCACGGCCGTTTCAGCTCTGGAGCTGCTGGAGTTCGCGGTGGTCTCCCAGACGGATGTTCCATCGACGTCCGTCAAGACCATGGCTCCGTCTCGGCGGAGGGAGATTCTGGAGCCGAGGCGGTTGACTGGTCTATCTCTGTTGGCCGTCCAAACAACAGTTCTGTCTCTGGATTTCGTAAACCATATCGAAAACCAGTAAGCATTTGTGCCTACACCATAGAAACCACAAGTGAAGGATTCATCTGGTGAAGTTAGGAAGCCGGAATCATCTTGGACGGAGAGCGAAGAGCCTCTCGAAAGACGGTTTTGGGTTTTCGGAATTGCAGCAGAAGAGTGGGAGAATAGAGCGATGAACGCAAGGGTAAGAAAACAGCGAACATTTAGTGATGGAACAAGTTGGTGCTTCATTTTTCTCAAGTTTGGTGAAAAGAAAAGGGAGAAGATGGGTATATATATATCAATGGGAATCGGTTCTGTTGTGTTCGAGTTTACCTACGACGTCGTGTCAAAGCGTGACTTGATGCAAAATATAATACAAAACTTGTACTATTCATTGATACGAAGAAAATTAATTCTCCTGTCAAAGCGTGACTTGATGCAAAATATAATACAAAACTTGTACTATTCATTGATACGAAGAAAATTAATTCCGTTGTTTTTATGAAGAAAATTAATGGATCCATGTGCAACTTAGATGCCCCTAGTCAGAGGAGTTGGTTCACATCGGATTTTGCGACAAGCAAAGAGCACTTTTTCGGCACAAGGACTCAATCTCGCCTGTCAGTGTCGCTACCAAGAAAAATTAATACATTAGTTTTCATCAAGTACGGTTTATGTTTAATTTCAAATAAATTCAAAATAATTTATAATCGCAGAATGACAGATAAACGAGTACGATGAAATGAACTACGAGATTCTCACAAAGAAGATCCGGATATGATCCTATTCCCTTGAATAAGACTACTCACCATATTAAATAAGATATTTTGAAGGGTAACTATTGTGTGAAAGGGTTGCCTTTGAGTTCTGGCGAAAAGGACACTTCAGTTATCAACAAGGACCTCACTCTGTCCCACAAATTGTTCGTTTATGTTGAATGGAGCCTAAAGATCAACTTATTTGGATCACATAAATTGAATTCAACGGTCTCTATTAACTCATTTCTCTGACCCATCACACACAAACCAACAACCCTAATTTCTTTTACGCACCAATCAACAGTCCAGATGGATTGATCCTTAGGCTCCAGACACTAAGGTACGGAGCGAATCCAATTCCGTTTAGGTGGATTTCCGTAGTCTAACGTGTTAGCCCAAGTCAGACTTATCAAATCCAACTCTAATTCAAACTCTTCAGCTGGATATTCTAAACTTCACCTGTTATCCAAGGACAAATCTGTTAGGTCTAGGTTTCTTTTGAATGTTTTTTAGCTAAGTCTGATAGCTTTGTATTATTTGAAATTCAAACTGTGCGTGTAAATAGGGTTCTTCAAAACCTTTTTGTAATCTGTACATTGGGAATCCGGATAGGATTCTATTCTTTTGAATAGGACTACTCTCTATATTAAATAAGATATTTTGAAGGGTAACTATTGTGTGAAAGGGTTGCCCTTGAGTTCTGGCGGAGAGGACACCTCAGTTATCAACAAGGACCTTACTCTGTCCCCACAAAGTGTTGGTTTATGTTGAATGGAGCCTAAGGATCAACTTATATGGGTCGCACAAATTGAATTCAATGATCTCTATTAACTTATTTCTTTGGTCCACCACACAAAAACCAACAACCCTGATTTCTTTTACACACCAATCAGCGATCCAGATGGATTGATCCACACTAATGTACGAAGCAAATCCAATTTCATTTAGGTGGATTTCCATAGTCTAAAGTGTTAGACCAAGTCAGACTTATCAAATCCAACTCTAATTCAAACTCTTCAGTTGGATATTCTAAAATTCACCCATTATCCAAGGACGAGTCTGTTTAGGTCTAGGTTTCTTTTGAATGTTTCTTAGCTAAGTCTGATAGCTTTGTAGTATTTGAAATTCAAACTGTGCGTGTAAATAGGGTTCTTCAAAACCCTTTTGTAATCTATACATTGAGAATCGGGATAGGATTCTATTCTTTTGAATAGGACTACTCTCTATATTAAATAAGATATTTTGAAGGGTAACTATGGTGTGAAAGGGTTGCCGTTGAGTTCCGGCGAAGAGGACATCTCAGTTATCAACAAGGACCTCACTCTGTCCCCACAAATTGTTGGTTTATGTTGAATGGAGCCTAAGGATCAACTTTTCTGGGTCGCACAAATTGAATTCAACGGTCTTTATTAACTCATTTCTTTGGCCCACCACATAAAAACCAATAGCCCTGATTTCTTTTACATACCAATCAGCGATCCAGATGGATTGATCCACACTAAGGTATAGAGAGAATCCAATTTCGTTTAGGTGGATTTCCATAGTCTAACGTGTTAGACCAAGTGAGACTTATCAAATCCAACTCTAGTTCAAACTCTTCAGTTGGATATTCTAAAATTCACTCGTTATCCAAGGACAAGTCTGTTTAGGTCTAGGTTTCTTTTGAATGTTTCTTAGCTAAGTCTGATAGCTTTGTATTATTTGAAATTCAAACTGTGCGTGTAAATAGGGTTCTTCAAAACCCTTTTGTAATCTATACATTGAGAATCCGGATAGGATTCTATTCCCTTGAATAGGACTACTCTCTATATTAAATAAGATATTTTGAAGGGTAACTATTGTGTGAAAGGGTTGCCCTTGAGTTCTGGTGAAGACGACACCTCAGTTATCAACAAGGACCTCATTTTGCCGCCACAAATTGTTGGTTTATGTTGAACGGTCTAACCTAGCAACCCCAAAATACAATGGTGAGACTTACCGACACTTCGTACGTTAGTCTCGCAGTACACAATCAGGCATTCAACTTCAATTACATAACAAAACGCTATGCTGCCATATTATTGTTTTGAGTGTAAGCACGTATTTACAATGGGGAATATGCATCTCTAATAAGATGTAGTGTTCTAAAAATCAGCCTAAGAGAGGAAGGGCCGATGACATTTAAGGCGAATTGTGAGAAAAATCGGGTAGAGGCTAGGTAGGTTAGGCGGTTCCATTGTTTTTAAAATTTTAAATTAAGTTAAAGATTTTTTTTTGAATAGTGAATTTCGAAATAGGATTTTTTTTTTTTTTTTTTTTTAGGCATTTGTCTGATGGCAATATGACTTGAGTTTTAATTTTTCTAAATTCTCAATACAAGTATAGGGTTTAGTTTTTAGGGAGTAAATAAGCACTTATTTATATGTTAAATAATAAATTTAAGAATCCCACCTAGACGCCTAGGCGCCGCCCGACCAACGTCTTTTAGAAACTTGATAAGATGTGAGCTAACAATCACTCGATGTTTTAACAAGTAATGCATGGATCGAACAAAACATAAGCCATCACATTTCAATGCAGAAGAACACAGAGGTAAACGAATAGAGACATTTTCATCATTCTTTAAATGACAAAATTGAATTTAATAAAGAAATGAATGGCATGTCGCCAAATATGAGTATTGGAAGAATGGTGGTTATTAGGGCTGCAATGTTGTATCGGCTCTAGGGACTAGCTGCTGCTTTATGTGTTACTTTATCCACTTGTATGTAGTCTTTTTCTTGTTGGCTACTCCTTAATTTAAGGAGATTTGGTGTAAGTCTTTTCTCTTGTTGTCAACTCCTTGATTTAAGGAGATTTGGTGTGAGTCTCGTAGACTAGCCTTTGTGTAGTGGTTCAAGGGGTTTTCTGGATGACTAGGTGCACGGCATGTGCACTAATTCCTACTCCTTAAATATCACTTCTTCTTTTTGTAACCTTATGACAATTGCAATAGAAAAAAAGAAAATATACTTGAAATTCAAGATGGTATCAGAGCAAGCATTCCTTTGAGCCTGCCTCTGTGTGTATCATTCTGTAAACATCTCCAATCTTCAAACAAATGGTTGAAGAAAATTCAGTCAACCAGGAAGTTGGAAACACCATCACTTCTCGACCTGAGAATCCTTCAGAAGTAGATACCAATTAATCCTAACCAAAGGTCCATCTCAATACTACTTAGTTTAATTATCTTCCGTGGTCAAGGGCGGTTGCTCTTGCTCTTGGTGGAAGAAACAAACTTAGGTTCATCAATGGTAATGTGCCTGCTCCAGAAGCTACATCCTCAGATTATGAAGCTTGGCTATGTAAAGATCAACTTATTATGTCATGGTTACTTAACTCCATGGAAAGAAAAATAGCTGAGATCTTCAACTATTCTGAGTCTTCTCTCTTGCTATGGACAACTATGAAGGAGATGTATGGGAACCAAAACAACTCCACTTGCGTGTTTCAACTTAAAAGAGACATATCATGTATCCAGCAAGAAGGTAAGAGTTTTACTCAGCATCTTGGATCTCTAAAAGGTATGTGGAATGAACTGGATGTCTACCGGCCACATACTACTGATTCCACAGTTCTCCTAAAAAGGGTTGAGGAAGATAAAGTCTTTCAGCTATTGTCTAGCCTGAGCACAGATTATGAAGATCTAAGAAGTCATATCCTCATGAATCTTGGGCTGCCAACCTTCACAAGCATTTATACTACCATTCAATAAGAGGAAGTGAGAAGGAAGGTTATGAATGCAGGAACTAAAGTGAATGTAACTGAAACTTGAGCCTAAATGACCAATGAGAAGAGATACAAGGGTAAAAACCCTAACTTGAAGTGTCAGCATTGTCACTACAATGGTCACGATAAGGAGACTTGCTGGATCTTGCATCCAGAGTTGAAACTAGATTTTTTGAAAAACAAGGTTCTACCTAGAAGATCTCAACCACCTCAACTTTCCCACCGAGCCAACATGGCTTCATCTTCAACTATCAACAATCATGATCCTTATAAGCAGTTCACAGCTAATCCTATAGATCTTATAAATAAGTTTGCAACCTTCCAACAAAAGGAAAGAGGAAGAGAAGAAGCCGATCAAGTTGTTGATCCTGAAGATGGAAATACCACTGCCTTATTGAGCAAGTTTGTTGGTTTTTTGGCCAATACTGATCACATACCAAAGCAAGACCATCAAGGTATTTTAAATGCTTTCAAAACTACTCTAAATGTTACTTTGTTGCATGATTTTTGGATTGTTAATTCTGGAGCCACAGACCACATGACTAATAAAGTGTCAAAACTAAAAGAGTTTGAAAATTTGCATGAACCATTACAAGTATCAATTGCAAATGGTGAAGGGGCTAAGGTTGTAGGAAAGGGAAAAGTTCATCTAATTTCAGATAAAATTGAGTCAATGGCTTTGTATGTACCTTCATTTCCTTTCCATCTTTTATCTGTGGGGAAAATCATAAATACTTTGAACTGTTTGGTCATCTTTTCACCACAAAGTGTCATTTTTCAGGAT